TTGCCATGACTAAAATTTGACCGAAAGCTAGGCTTAAGTACATTATTGACGTTAGTATTACGAAATAGAATGCATTCGTTATTTGCAATCAAAAGTTTCTATTTGTTAAATGTGCTGTTCTTTCACTACAACATGTCGCCATATTTGTTCTCAACTCACACATTAACTTCTCCGAGTCCAACTTTAGCGCAATCTACACAATAAATGACACTCTACGATATTCTGCACAGAAGTAGGCACGAGAAGACGAGTGAAAATTAACTGCCCGGCACTCGCAGGTCATTAATATTAGAAAATGTGTAAATTTCCGGAAACATTTTTTCAGCGTGACAGAGAACAGACCACTATTAAATCCTCCATAGGATCCTATACTTAATAATTGAATTTCAGGAGCTGAAAAATAGTATTTCGGCCGTTTTCGGCCGAGTGGCAATATTAAAGATAGGTAGCCATGTACTTCAGCTGTGCATCATTAGAGTTCTGACATATGTTGTTCGGCGATTTAAAAAAATATCGCGAATTTACTAATCGACACCACATTTGTGCCTGAAAAACAGTCGCGCAGTCGAATGGGGGCCATACATTGAAAAAATTCGTTTTAAATTGCCAGTAACCATCCACCCATCTCAATGTGCATGTCATTGACACACACGATAGCCAACCTAAATAATGCAGCCACAAAACATCGCGTAAGCTTTAGTGCACAAGCTGCGGGCACTCCGATTGGTCGGCCGATGACGCGTCACATCCTCTAACCTAACAGGGTAATGAACCGGTAGTGATTTAATAGTGGTCACGTGTCATCAATAAAACTTGCATGGCTTTTCGTAGTCGTTATTAAGTTTTACCTCTGTACGAATTCAACGCAGAACAATCATTTCCTCCAAAGTCGACCTTCACGATAAGATATTTATGTAAGCTATGCATATTCAGAACGCAACGCAGATAGCAGTTATTACACAATCTGGCTACGTTAGTGTGTTAGCGCATGCACAATCTCTCACCAGAGAAGTAATATTTTGAGATGAATATGCATTTAATATGGTCAGGGCGTATCTCAGCATAGATTTATGTACTAAATTATTATCAGTACACCTATGTTTATAATTAGGAGAGCGCCCTAGCCTGTAGGCTGCAAAACTCATACTTCATCTCCTCCCGTCTGCCCCCTTGCCTCCCTTATCCCTCGCCCAGTCCCCTTCTTCTTCTACTCTCTCAACGATCTTCCCTGCCGTTTGTCCTCAGTCTTCCACCTCTCTCTCCCTCTCCCACCTCTCTCTCCCTCTCAGCAATCTGCATGATACAGTTTTTTCAGTCCGTATTGCACGCCTGAAACGGTTCTAGCGCATGCGCAATATCTCCCGAGAAGAAGAATATTGTCTAAACATTATGCATTTAAAGTGAAGAGGACGTTTCCTATCATAGATTTATATAATAGCATTCCATCGGTAGATCTGACTTAAGAATTTGGAAGAATATCTTGCATGTAGGGTACCCGCTGCATATACCAGTCAGTACACAATCTGGCTACGTTAGTGTGTTAACGCATGGGCAATATCTCACCAGAGAAGTTATATTTTGTCTGAATATGCATTTAATATGGTTAGGGGGTATCTCAGCATAGATTTATATAATAAATTATTATCAGTAGGGCCCTACACCTGTGTTTCTAACTAGGAGAGCGCCCTAGCCTGTAGGGTGCAAAACTCGTACTTCATCCCCTCCCGTTCGTCCTCTTGCCTCCTTTGCCCCTCGCCCAGTCCCCTTCTTCTTCTACTCCCTCAACCATCTTTCCTGCCGTTTGTCCTCAGTCTCCCACCTCTCTCTCTCTCTCTCTCTCTCTCTCTCTCTCTCTCTCTCTCTCTCTCAGCAATCTGTATGATGCAGTTTTTTCAGTCCGTATTGCACGCCTGAAACGGTTCTAGCGCATGCGCAATATCTCCCGAGAAGAAGAATATTTTGCAAACATTATGCATTTAAGATAAAGCGTAGGTATCCTAGCGTAGATTCGTATAATAACATTTCATTAGTAGACCTCACTTAAGAAATACGAAGAAGTATATAAGAAGAATAGTACATTAAGCATATCTAAGTAATAATTTTAAGTATTAGTTGTGAAATAGCAATAGAGCCATATAATGTATAACATGCGTTGACGCAAATTTAGCGTACGGTATTAGAGGTCTACGTTATTTGATACAAGTTATATGTCAAATTAAATTATTGCCTACAGACCGATCCAGATGCAATCACGAAACTCAAATAATGTACAGCACTTTGGACTAAGATAGGAAAGATATCTTAAGATGGCCAGAGGGGTCAACTATCTCCTGACGCATTATAGGGGTGTGAGACATGACATTGCGCATGTCTTTAATACGTGATTTCTCTCGGCTGTATCATCTTTATAGACATCTGACAAATCGCAACTTGTCAAATGCAATCTATAGTATCACACAGAGATTAAGTATTATTAAAGTTCAAGTATTAAAATTTAGTTATTTATTATTTTTGGTTTCCACCGAGGGGAGAAATTATCATATTGGTACTCGCGAAGGCTCTGCACCGGACTACCCCCTCGCGGGATATTGATAAGCTATTGATTGATTCCATCGACTAGTGCTCGAGTTCGTGTACTCTCTCGGTTATATCTGCGCTATTAGGTGTAGGCAGAGAGATAATCCCTAACGGCCTGTATTTCCCAGGTCGGTCCGGCTGTCGAGGTAAGTTACACTACATCTAACTCTCTTACGTTCGTTGCTATACTAGTTATATGTTTCCTATTATATATGTTTCCTATACGGTCTACGTCGCTTTTATTACGTGTTGGAAAGTGGTGTTGTTTGTACGTCGCATTCCTATATTACTTTTTATATTATTTTATATAATTTTATTTAACCGTTTATCGAGTGAGAAGACTTTTATTAAGTTTATTTTATATTATTTTATTTACCCTATATGGAGTGGAAAGACTTTTATTCGTTTATCCGAAAGTTTAGATATAACCATAATATAGGATTAATTGCTGCTGCAGGTTTTTGCTATAATACCGTATGTATACTTCAAGGGTTACTCTACCACTCGCCAAAATAGCCAATTGCCACACTTTTTGGGGTGGCTATAAAAACATTAGACTGGCTATTTTTGTGGCTACATATTTCAATTTCCCAGAGTAACCCCTGATACGCATTATATATCTACGTTATAAACAAATCTGTAGGTCTTGGCCTATGATTAAACTTATTTATCCGGGTCCGATTAGAACCTCTTGTGATTATTATCTGTATTTGTCAACATACGGGGTCAAATTTATTTTCTGCTCTCAATTCATAGCGTAAGTTCATGGCTATTGTTCATGGCGTTGTTACACCTGTTCATGTTAAGCTGTCGTTTTGCGTTATTATTAGAAAAAATTGTTGTTAAAGCTTGTTGTAGAATCGCTATTCTTGGTACACAGTGATCCCGCATTTTACGGGTAATGTAACCCGAATGAGAATTCACATTGCCGTACCTGCATGCATGTAACAGTAATAATAAGTGTATATACGGCAAACCGATATATCCCCAAACCTTTCTGTGTGAAATGATTAATAAATGTCATATATTCAATATTTGGTTAATATTTTTCTGTTTTTCTCAAAACTTGAAAATATGACTTAGGCCATTATTTCAGAAAGATGACGATATGTGGAAGTGATAACAAGGAATGCACGTTTATTGGTTCTTATATTATAATTAGCTCCTGACTTATTGGTTCTTATAATTAGCTCCTGATTAGGCCTATGCCTATTTCTTTCTTCGGTGTGCGACATTAGGTTCTGCATGCACACCAAAACTGTGTAGGCCTATGGTTCCGGTTGTCGGATGCCCTCAAACCACTTTAGCTTTGACTTTGCATTAAAGAAATAGTGTGTCCTGCATCATCTTATAATATCGATGCACTTCTTTCTTCTGTATCCGACAATACGTTCTGCATCGCACCAAAACTGTTTAGGCCTACGTACGGTACATAATATTTTACATAATTATAATATAAAGTCATAAAGAAACTACCAGGTTTGTCCAAAACCTACACCAGTGCAAACAAAGCCATCTCGCATGATAAAAACGAGGTCAACAACTACCCCATGGAATTCCTTCACTCCATCACCCCTACTGGCATGCCTCCACACCGCCTCATTTTAAAACCAGGAGCAATAATCATGCTATTACGCAACCTAGATATAACTAAAGGACTCTGCAACGGCACCAGACTATACATTAGGAACCCCTACGACTATATTCTAGATGCCGTAATCCTCACTGGAAGCCATGTCTCACAAAGAGTCCTCATCCCGCGTGTTAAACTTGCCCCATCCGACGCAAACCTTCCCTTCACACTACAGCAGATTCAATTTCCAATCAGACTTGTCTAATCTATGACTATAAACAAGTCACAGGGCCAGATTTTCGACAAACTCGGACTCTACCTCCCAGCCCCTGTGTTTTCCCACGGCCAACTATATGTTGCCTTTTCACATGCCAGAGGCTACTCCAACATCTACATCAAAGGAGACAAACATTCATCACAAGGCCTTTTCAACAACAGGACCCTCACGCAAAATGTCATCTACAAAAAAATCTTTTAAACGACGAAGGTAGCACCACCCCCATAACCGACCCAACTTCTAATATCAATCTACTATTACTGTAACCCTGTTTAAATTTTGCTGTTTTTATCGAGTAAACTGAAGGAATGTCTTCATTTTAGTTGGCTGTTTATATTTTGCTGTTTTTATGGAGTAAACTGTCTTCATGTTCCCAAAATTTAAAAAGGGTAAAATTTAGATCTTTTAGGAAATTTTACCAGAACCGCAAAAAAACAGCCGCAAATATTTATTGGTTTACAATATGCTACAGTCGACTTTGGCCAAACATTCAACTCCGTGCGGAGCACGGGTATTTGCTAGTAATATGTGTATTACCTGGATAAAGATATGACATTTCATTCTTTCTCGCAGGTGCATAACAACATCGACTATCTGTTCGGCGCCCCTCAACTCTCCGCTGTGGCTTACCATCGCCGACCCAAGACGTTTCACAGCAGCGTCATGGTCGTAGAACCGACAGCCGCTCATAACACTTTTAAAAAGTTACAGAAATTGGCCCGCAATTGCGAGGATTTGTTCGACTTTAGCAGTAAGTGACTAATTCTACGTGGAAAGAGCGATAGTGGAACCAGAACGAAGGTTTAAAATGCGGCGAATTCTATAGTGTCTCGTCTACCAGCAATAAGTTACTTGACGTCCTGACTACATGAAGTGACAACGAGAACCAATATGCCCGATGTTTGCTATAATTATAGCCTACCGTCATTACTGTAAGTGACCCTTTAGCTAGATGAAGGAGTATCGTTGTGCTACCCATCTTTACATGCTGAACGCAATCACTGCACTGCCCGCACACACTACTAACACCGCGTGTATTTAGGTAGGAGTTGTTATTGCTGTTGCTGTTGTTGTTACGAACTGCATTTACTGGGTGTTAAGACGTGTCGCGTCGTGTTCAGGTTGTGCCGACCAAATCCTCAATCGTCACTTTAAGAGATGGCACAAGCTGCCACCGATCTACTGCTCCGAGGTCAGCAGTTCGTTTGCCTACGTTCCTCCAGGAGGAGAGTAAGTCCGTTTCTGTCGTTTTTCACGAGCATGTTAATGGCTTTTAATACTATGACATTGATATTTAGAATTAGTGGGGTACCTGGCGTTGCCCGGGTTCGTTTCTACGCGTCTAACGGTATGTTCGGGTATTTTAGCGTACGTAACTTTTCGTTTTCTGTTAAAAAACCGAAGTATGTCGCATATGAAGATTTGGCGTTGTGTATTGTACTTGTGGGTTTAAATCGATAAGAAATTTCCTATCCAATGGCGCGCATATGGAGCTAAACATCTGTGGATTGTTATAGGATTGCATGATTAACTTGAATATCTGCATAAATTTCAGTGCTAACACGATTTCACCAGAGATACGGGTCGCGTAGATTTCTGGAAACACGTGGAAGCCGTGGATGCTAGCAGTTTGTGAAAAGGAACGTAAGGTCAGTATAGTTGTTACTTACTACTTTAAGAGGCTAAATAAATATTCGATTAGATTAAAGAACGTGACCTAGATTAACGGGAGAATTTATCATCGTCATCGTCGTTGTTTCCATCGGCGTCACCATCATCGTAACTACCACAACTATGGCTATAACCGCAAAGAGATATTAATGTTACGTAATGAAATGCTTTCCAGGTTTTGTGCATGGGAGGTGGACAGGCTATCCCGCATCTTGAAAAGTGGGTCGCTATTTATGACAAGCAAGTCCTACCCCTTCTCACCCTCGAAACCGTTAGATTTCTTGTATGTACCGTATATGCATTTTTACTCGTTTAAAATTACTATTACATGAAAAATTTATTTATTAAAAATGTGAATGAAATAATAGCGCCTGTCACTTTCGGTATCTCACTTACTTCACCTCACTTCCTTTAGAACGGTATCCCGAGACCTTTACCAAAATGACAAAAGACTGTCAGCGTGGTAAAAGAATGTTCCGCGGCAACTCTAAAGAAGATAGCGCTGGAGGAGGAGGTAACGCGGATGGTAAGCAAACCAGGCGAACCTATAAAAACACAATATGAGCGAGTTTAAGCTATACTATTGTATAAATAAAGCAGGCATCTTCACAAACATATCATTACATTGCATATCGTTCTTCCTCCGCACTCGCCAGGAAAGTGGATTAAACGAGTCAGCTATGAATTAGAAAGTTAACAACTAATAAAGTGACTATCAGAAAACAGACCATTATTAAATCCTCTATAGGATTCTATACTTAAGAATTGAATTTCAGAAGCTAAAAAATATTATTTTGGCCGTTTTCGGCCGAGTGGCAATATTAAAGCTAGGTAGCCGTGTACTTCAGCTGTGCAACATTAGAGTTATAACATATGTTGTCCGGCTTGTTAAAAAAATATCCCGAATTAACTAATCGACACCACATTTGTGCCTGAAAAACAGTCGCTTAGTCGAATAGGGGCCATACATTGAAAGAATTCGTTTTAAATTACCAGTAACCATCCACCCATCTCAATGTGCATGTCATTGACACTCGCGATAGCCAGCTTAAAT